GGGGGGGCGGGGGGGGGCGTTCGTCGCTAAATTTGCCCAAGCTACGATCAAACCATATTATTTAGAAAGAGAAATCTTTGTGAAAAGATGTAATCGAATTTGTTTTGGCGTACGAAAAGTTTTAGCGGAGATATTTGACTTTGAAGGCGATGCGGTCGTGGCGTCAGTGATTAGCCTTTTACTGTTATATTACATATAGATGAGCACACACAATGTAGGCCACAGAAAATGTTACATCAACCGCTCTAAATGAGCTCATGGATTAATTAAAAGAATGTAAAGGTATTATACTATTATGTCAACTATATATTTTATTGTTAAAATGTATTTATTTGACTAATTTAAGAATGTTTTTAAAATAGTTTTGGTTGACTGTAAATTTGTTTATAAAAACCGTTAAAAACCCGCAACACCTGATCATTATTCTTTGGGCCGCCTGTGGTCATCAGAACAGTCACGGAGTACTCCGAACAGTAAATGGAGCAGCTTGCATGAGCGATGGTACAGTGCGGTCAGCTAAAGTTGTGGACTGTCATCAGCAAACATACTTCAACAAGTATGTTCGCTGATGACACAAACATCTCAATCCACGGTAAGATTGAATACGAAATACAGGAACGCTTAATTTAAACGCTGACTTAGAAAATGTGCAGCAACGGATACTTGCAAACAAAGGAACACGATTATGGAAAGATACAAGTTTAATACACGAGTACCAAGAGACGACGAAACAGCCGATCAGTACGTAACTGAACTTAAACTGCTCGCTAAGAATTTCAACTTCGGGTCTCTTGAAGACGAGTTGATTAAGGACCGCGTTGTTCACGGAATAAAATCGGAGCGTGTGAGAGAACGGTTATTACGAGAACGAGAGTTAACGTTAGATAAAGCGTTAAAAGTATTTCAAATAAACGAAAAGTCTGAGGAACAACTAAAAGTACTAAACGATGTTCAGAGCGTCAAGGCCATAGGAAAACATAACAAATCAGGAAATTATCGTAGCAAATTAGATGCAAATCGAAGGCGTGATTTCAAGCATAACGGCGGCAACAAACAAGAACAAGTATCGTGTTGCGGAAAGTGCGGAAAGTCTCATCCTGCGAAAGAATGCCCAGCTTTTAGTAAGAAATGTTTTAAGTGTGACAAAAAGATCATTTCGCTAAATTCTGCAAGTCAAAGAAAATACATGCAGTAGACAAAGCGAGTACAGATGACGAACCGTTGTTTATTGGAGCGGTTAATTCAATTCATAACTAAGAGAATGTTTTCAAAACTTTATCAATCGAGGGAAATGAGATCAAGTTCAAGATTGACACGGGATTACAAGCCAATATACTACCCCTACCTACATTCGAGAAGATGAAGCTAATTAGATTCATGTATATAAGGGTTGTTTTTGTAACATAATAAACAGACTAATAACATAGACACAAAGGCAAAAGACAAAGAAAAATTCAGACAAGACAAAGAAAAATTCAGCTCCGCGCGCAAAATTCAGCCTAGTGGAAAACAGGCTTAAAGTAAAATCAGTTAACATTCGACGGATACTCCCTATTAAAGCTGGTGGGGGGGGGAGGGGGTTAAATATTTGCCCAAATTTGTAAGGAGGATTGTCATAAAATAATTAAATTTACCTGAAATATTCAATTCGCCCGAATTTTGTTGATATACCCAGCATTTGCCCGGACCTGCTTTGGCCCCACACTCAACGTTCCTGTCTCGTACGCCATTATATATATATATATATATATATATATATATATATATATATATATATATATATATATATATATATATATATATATACTCTAATGTTAACCCTAACTGCAGGTCCTATAACTCAAAAATAGCGAGACATGACTTGTGCGTATAAATTGGCACCGTACCAATTGTAAGAACGAAAAGTCTTTCAATTCTTTAATGCAAGTTCGCAGGAAAATGGAGTTGTTGTACTGGAAAAAGTTTGCCGAATATGATCACGTGTAGTTGTGCAATATTCGAAGTATTTATACTGTTTGGATAAAAAAAATCAACATTATTACAAAGCGATGGATAAGTTCGAAATCGCATTCAAATTTGCATAATTTGGCTTTGTGGTGATCTAACGTATCAAACAGAAAGCTCCTTCTGAATTAATTCAACATTTTATTAATGATAATATATTGTGGTTATTTTACTTTGCAAATCATGTGTAATAATCCATCTTTATATGTTTTCTAATTATATTATGTTATTTATGCCCTTGGAGGTGATCCAGCCCAAAAAATACTGTCATAAATCACCAACCCACATTTTCCCATTTTTTGGCCCCAACACCTTGTTTGATAAAGGTCGTCAAACATCCGGATAACTTTTCAGAATTTTTTTTTCACAGTCATGACGGCAGAGGAAAAATATTAAGAGTCGTAAAAGCACAGGCAAATGGGTTAATTTATTCAGGAATGACGGATAAATATTTATAGGATATTTGGTTATTTTGTTTCTTTCATTAAAAAATTATGTTAAAACAATTATTCGCCACAGGCTCAGTTATTACGGTGAATATTCGGCGGTAATCACTTCGCCTTCGGCGAATAATTGTAAAATATTTCTAGTATTATCACAAAACCGTCCACTACTATTGTGATTTGTGAGTCGAATTACTCTATTGCATGGAGATATTCTTTCACATAATTTGTTCAGCTGGACAACACGGTAAAACTTGATGAAAGTCACTATAGCGTTTTCATCAAATATCTTAATTACGCATGCAAAATTACTTGAATAGAATTCCTAATACGTTATGCTTGGTAACGAATTATATTCAAATCAGCAAACCAAAACATTCTGTTAAATCTCGATTCATTTGGGAAGCCATATAAACAACTCGAGCTCGTGTCTCACCGCGATATCTCGGTGAAACACTCGCTTTGGTTGTTCATAAATTACATCCAGGACCGTTGCGAGGACTTTGCCGTGTGTGTGTTATCCAAATTAACGTTTTTACCTGATTTTAGTCGCTAATTAATTTAACATTTTTTCAAAAATTGTTGGCAAGCGTGCGGAGGGGAGGGGATACGTCGCCAAAAAAATTTTCGGATATACCAAAAATTTTCCGAACATATCGTAATTTTCGCAAACATGCAAACAAATTTCCGCACATGTCATGATTTTTCAGAAAATACAAAAAAATTTCAGGAGATATCATAATTTTTACGAAATTACAAAAACATTTTCTACAGATATAGTTATTTTCTGAGAATTACCTGAATTTACCTAAACAATCTAATGGAAATCTACCTGAAATTGCTCATGAACAATTATTAGGGGGGGGGGGGGGTTGCACACAGCCGGTCGCTACGGCCTTCCACATGTCTGTTTTTACAGTATATGCATACACCCTTCGCCTGTCATTAACAACAACTAATATGGTCATTATAATAATTTTTACTTTTTTCGTGCACATCCGAATTTTAATAAAAACAATGCAAAACTCAATAACATACAAATATCAATTCATTTGCAACGCATAATTAATTATTCCAGATGACTGAAGGGGGAAAGTCAATAGTAGTGAAGTATATGGAAATATATTCCGCATTCATGTCACAGTCTTGAAAGAAAAAATACCATTTTCAGCCAGAAAAATTATAATCGCCGCTCAACAACAAACACATGTATGATATATTAAAGGCTAGTGTCCACTCAGGCAAATTATCCGCGGATTGGAACGGACAAGAAAATTTTTCTTTGTCTTGTAAGCTCTGGGTTGGAACTAATGACTTTAACACAAAGAAAAATTTTCTTGTACGTTCCAATCTACTGATAAATTTCCTGCGTGGAAATTAGCCTTTAATGTGGCTCGCTTCAATTTATAGAAATGTTGAAAATCCGTAAACTAGATCACCTTTTTGAAGAGATGATGCCCTTTACAAATCAAAATTTGTATATTATATATATACAGCGACAATCAAACAGTCTAAAATTGGGCAGAAAAGTGACGTCACCACTGTTGCTATAGCAACAATGACGATTCAAGATGGCCGATATTTTGACTTTGAACGCATTTTACTTTAAAAGAAGGTTGGTTACCCCCATTTTTATTTCAGAAAACATTTTCTTATCAAAAGTTAAGAAAACTATCGAATAGTAAAGCATTTGCACACGATTTAATTGTGCAGTAACTCATCACAAAACTTCGAAGTCGCTTCCATTTTGAGTTTTTGACAACATTCTTAACCCACTTGACAACACGTTCCAAAAAACAGATTTCAGTAATGTAGACGCATGCGCAGACGTTTTTCGGCGGTGTTCTTGACACCACGCAAGGTGTTTACGAATGCGCAGATGTTTTTCCGCGGTGTTGTGAGATACAGTTTAACATCAAGCATCAAACATCAAACAGAGGCCTTCTATTTCGCAGCTTTGAAGTTTGCCGGATTTTCAGACCATGATATCTTGACAGACTATAGGCAACTTAATAGGAAATGGTGAACTAATTCTTAGTGGTGACTCGAAGTTTTTATTCGCCGGTATTTCCCAGGAGTATTGGTTCAAATATGAAATGCATGGGTTTGTTTTTGTGCGGCCGTTATGATTTTTTTCTCGCTGAAAATGGAATTTTTTGTGAAATAAATTTGCATAGTTCACTATTGACTTTCAGTCATCTTCTATAATTAATGATGGGTTGCTAATTAATTGATATTTGTATGTTATTGCGTTTCCTACGGAAAAAAGGTGCAAATTCTACAGGGCGCGTGTTAGACTTCATCAGGGGCGGCGGAACAGCGGGCTAGGAGGGCTTTAGTCCCCCAAGAGATAAAAGTGGAGGGGCTTAGCAACACACGAAGAATGCTAGAATGGGAGAGCGTTTATACAAACTACGAGTCGTCAAATTACTGCTCGAAAACTTTGGAAATTGTGAAATTACTGCTCAAATTAATGCAATGAAAATATCCTACATTGTAATCAAGGGAATGTAAATTGATTTTCTTTCACCCTGCGTAGCTATATATCTTTGATTTTTAATAGTTGACTTTAACGGCATAAAATTCCTGATTTTATATTGCCACATCATGTTACTGCAATTGTACAAAGAAAATGTCGATCACATTGATTTGAAAGGAAATGCAAAGAGTTTTATTGAAGCCAATATTCGACAAAAGGCCTTCTTTGGCGATCTCTGACTGATAAACTGTGAAGAAATTGATATATAACAGAAGTTATAAACAACATTTGTCTATGTTGTTGCAATGGTGCTGAATTATACATGGCTAATTGTTATGCATTAGCCATACATGAAAATAAAGTGATAAAACACATGCAGTACATGACTACATAAAAACTTTTTAGTTTTTGCAGTAAATACTATACGTAATCAGAGTATTGGCCGTGGTGGTTATTTAGTAAATGAGACAATTAAAACCCCTCTTCACCTAACAGACACAAAAAATTAGAAATATATAGCGCTGGGCCCCAAATTTCAGCTGCCCTCCCGTGACGTGCATGAGGCAGCACGCCACTGTCAGTGTAGTTTGTAATTATATCAAGTTTTCATATTTTTTATTTATCCAAAAGATCGCCAAGGACTGGCATAATTTGAACTTTGAACTTCAGACAGCTGGCCTATACAGGGTGTATAAAAAAAACGCAACCTCGAAATTTCCTAAGAAATCACTTTGCAATTCTTAAGCATAAAAGATTTTGGGGAGCAGCCTGCAGCCCTCCCAATAACTTGTCGATAATCATTCTTTTTTCAAATCATGCACTCCTTTATCATTTAAATAATATACCTTTAAAATACTGACAATTAATTAATTTTAAACGGCTGCATTATCCATGACAAACTGCAAAGAATCATATTATCCATACTTTCATGCAACTTCTCCAATATATAGCTAATTAAATACGCCTTCGCCCATTTAGTACTAGTATAGTATGTAGTATAGTATATTTGAACTTCCATGGCAGCATACACTGAATTGCAGAAGTTTTACATTAAGATTAGATAGATCAAACGGATTGACGTGAAGCAGACCGAGGTAGACTTTGAGCTTACAAATGGCGCTTGAGCAGCCGCTATTAGTCCATACCTCATTAATGATCTGCCTCCAGACCTTATGACCTTATGTGCCTAACCCACCCTGTCAACTTTCCCTGTGGGAGGAAACACGGAGTACCCGGAGAAAACCCACGACTTTCGGCAGAGCGTTGACT